TGTATACGTCCACATATATGTAGTTATATTTGAGCTTATAGTAAGCTCATAAATGAATCTCTTATTTTTTTCCAAATTCTGTTTTTACTGTAATAATTATTATATGTAAGAATGACAGCTATTATGATATTGTTTGATGTTGTTTCTACCTATATACATCTGTATGTACATGCATGCATATAAACAGATTCTGTTGCCAAAAAATTTTTTTCTAATACCCATGTAAAATATAAGAACCTACTGTGTGCAAATATTTTCGTAAAGGTATAAAATTTTTATTTCCTTTTTCCGGTTTGGATAAATTAATTTTCTTCCCCTTTTTCTTCACTCTTGCGCATTTTAAAATTTTTCATAGAATTTTTCCTTTCTTATGTGTGTATTTACAATTACTTATTTTATTGTTATTGCTGCACATAAGCATAAAGTGAAGAAGTAAGTATGTATAAATTTATTATAATTTTTTTTTCTGTGAAATCGTTAAGATATGATTATATGAAATATACCTATGTATTTTACTAAACGAATACATACGCAAGATTACAATTTGATGCCCCTATTTAAATTTTTCTGTAAAATAGAATAAGAACTATAAGTACAGAAACCCAAAAAAAGAAAAATCTACGCATGCGATTGAACTTTTAAGGTTTATTGGATTTTTATATTGCGCATACACACATATGTACATATTATATGTAAAATTGTCCTTAACTGTTATATATTTTACGTGGGCTTTGAAAGTTTTATTTTTCATCTTTTTTTTTTATTCATTGCTAAAATATCCGTTAAAGATCTATTAAAATATTCAATAAAAAAATTGTTGATTTTTTTTATTATATTTATAAATATGCATAATATACTATAGATAAATATACATACCTACATACTTATATAAAAATTAATAAATGGTACATAAAATAAATGTGTATAAAGTATGCTGCATGAATATTGAAAGACGACAAATAAATAAGTGTTATATTCGTGTAATAATGAATAAAAAAATACCTGTTATATGTTTTTTTGAATACCTTTGTATGTATGTATATATGTATGTACATAATATTGCATATATTAATATAACAATACAAAAACAAAAATTAATAAAATTTTTGAGCTTATCTAACATTTTTATCTTATTATCAATAATTAGCGCCCCTTTCTCTATTGTAGCTTGTAAAATTGTTTTTTTTTTTAATTTTTTTTTGAAATTTGAAATATTACGACAAACTAAAATTCACAAGTACCTATGTATGCATAGGTATATGTAAAAAATAAACCTATGAAATAAATTTATTTTTAAACTTAAATGTGAAATAATATTATTCATTAAAGTATTCGTTACTTAGTCGTTACTTACTATGTGCTTAACAAAATTTTTATTTTTATAACTTTATTAAATTATAATGTAAAATCTGAACTTCATCAGAATCTGATATGTAAGCACTTATTAAACTATGTCGTAAATTTAGTCTAAAATTTTGTCATATGTATAAAGGGCACCTATAATGGGTATAAAATTCCGATTACGTTTATTCATATAGGAATTCTAATTGATTTCCAATGTGATCTAGTACATAAGGAATATTAATTATATATTTATTTAAAATTAATAATATATAAAAAGAAATTGTTCAGTAATCTGAAAATATTTCAAATATTAATTCTGAGTTATTTGACATCTGTTATATTGTGCCGTAAAAAATTTTTTAAGTTTTTTTTTTTATACACATGCATGAGTACCTACATAAGTTTTTGCAATATTTTTACTTAATGATTTTGTTAAACACACGTATGTACGAACAAATATATATTGTGTTATACTACTATATACAAGTTAATATTAAAGATAAAAAGCAAATTATATTTCCTTACTGTTTTTCTGTTTTTTTTAACGTACAAATACATATAATAATATGTATTTATGTAAATCTCTTTATATAATTTTTTCTTTTATCAAACAAGAAAAAGTATATAAGTACCGAAAATTAAAAAAAAAAGTATAATGAAAATATAATAAAAGTGTGTACATACATATATACATATCTAGATATACTAACCATAAAGTAACATAATACTTGTTTGTATATTTTTTAACATAATGGTTATGAATATTGTATATACGTACGTATGTATGTAAATCATCTATTTATGTAAATAAGCACGTAATAATATCCATAGAAATTTTTATAGTTAAAAAAATTATCAATAATTAAGAAAAAGAAAACTAAAATGCGAAAATAATAGTAGCAAATGAAAAGAAAACGTGGCAACATCGCGCCTTTCAATAATAATTAGACCAGATTTTGTTATCCCCACAAAATATACATGTATGTATTATATGAATTAAATTTTTTATTATTAACATTTTAGCTTGTGTATACATAAATGTAAAATATAATTTTCTCTTCTTTTTCGTTACTATTATATTATCCATGTATTGTAAATATTTTTTTGATGTGTTGTAAATTGTAACATAGTTTGGAAAATAAAAGAGATTCAAGAGTGATAGAAGACACTAAAGAGTAATTTTTCTCGAAATCACTATTGCTTTAATTAAATTTTTTTAAAAACACGATAAATTTAGTAAAAATTTAATTTTAACCAAATTATTTTTTAATTAAATTAGATCAAACGAAATTTTTTATAAAAAATAAAATGTTGACAAAATAAACCGAAGCGAGAGAGCATAAAACTTAAGACAGGGGCAAATTTTGAGAATTATGAAAATCTCAAATGTAAATTTATTTTTTAATTTTGTATGAATTTTTGTATTTTTTTTTTATTTGTATGACTTTTTATGATTTGAAACATTCTTTTCAAAACCTTTTAATATGCACACACATGAATTACATATTATTCTTTCTTTCACACAGGTTAATAGTTTTGTATATGTAGGAGTTAAATATAATTCAATACGTACATGCATGCATGCTTCAGCAAGTATGGTTTGAATATTTTTATTATTATTTTGACGTAATAAAACTCAAAATTTGGTCTCTGAACACAATTTTTTATTGTTCCTTTTCTAAATTATTGAAATTTTTTTGATACTTCTCCTATAACCGGTCTCTTATAATTTTAATATCAATACATACGGATAAAAGTAAAAGACCTTTTGTTCTCTCTTTGATTCTCTCAACGTCCGTACTTCGATTCGTTTTTTTTTTTTTTTGGTGTTTCAAATAATATAATCTTCAATATTTTATTTTAAGAAATGATTTTGCGCGAATAAAATGAGAATATTCTACTTAACTAAAAATATGGAATAGTATTAGCAATACAGCTTTTACCGATTCATATTATAGAAATATATAAAGTCAGGTCATTTAGAATGAAAGGTGATGTAGCGTTTTTAGAACTAAAAAAAAAATAGAGAAAGAGAATTATCTGTCATACTCTAAAACTTTAACGGGAAAACAGAAAAATAACAAATTATTTGTTGAAATAAAATATGTAGTAGATGGGAATAAAATATTCTTATAAAAATGACAAAATTATTTTTTAAAATTATAAAGAAGATTAATAGCGATAATAGTTAAATTTTATGATGTGAAAATATCAATAAAAATTAGATGCAAAATAAGAGCGTGAAATGAATGTCATGGGTATTTGTTATACTATTGGTAAAGATTATGTTACATATATGTAGATATCCATATATGTGTATATATTATACGGCCATCAACATGTGCCCGATTGCACACGTGTTTTGTTGTCATACCTACATATGTACATGTATTTTTTTTTTAAAACAACAAAAAGTTTGAAGTAGTAATGTGCAATTATATATGTGTATGTATTATGCGTAATGATAGGGAAAGGACATAAAAAATCTATAACAAGTATAAAGCGGAATAAAAGTTCAAAAAAAAATTTGACATCCTATAAAATTGATTTTTACATACACCAGTATTGCCGCCTTGCAATCAGTGCTGTTAAATTCAACTTGTTTTTCAGTAGCATTTTGTCTCAAAAAAAGTAGTACGGAGAGCTTTAGCGTAGTAATTTGGGATTAACATTAAAACTAAACAAAAAGTAAGGCATTTGCGAGTTTTCATTAATATGAAATTTCAACGTTAGACGATTTTTTCGTGGTAACGTTTTTCAAACAAGGTTCTAAATTTAATTTTTATTGTTGTACAATTAGTTTTTGTAACAATACAAATAAAATTTTCATAAACAAAAACAAATAATGCCATTTTCTAGTATAATGATAAAAAAAAGTAGTAAAAATGGCTTTGCAGTATTATAGAATGCCAAAATGTGGTAAAATACTACAATTGAAGAAAAATTAACAACACTGCTTGCAATCAAGGCAATGGAAGCGTCAAGAAACTTCTTGGCGTTTCTTAAAAGAAAACATCAACTTTAACGTATTGTTCATATTTTTTCTTACAATATTATAATTGCAAAAATTTGAATTACTATTCAAGTGTGGGCGCTGTTATATGATTGTAAAAGTAATACATAGCTGTTTAGAAAAAACGTAATAATCAAAAAAATTTTTGATATTACTTTGCAGAAATCGGTCTAGATTGCACGTTAAATTTGAAGATATTTTTTTTTAATTTAATAATTTTATCTAATTTCTTAAATTATTCAAGGTTTGGTGAATTTATGGCTCTGATTGCATTCATTCAAAATTATTTATATATATATATATGTATGTATATACATAACAATAAAATTTGTTGCAGAATTGGGAAAACTGTAAGACTCGCTTTGAGTGTTTTTTTTTTAATAAAAAATTTTTCCATTTATACCTAGTTATTTGCAAATTATTTAGGTTTACTTATTAGAATTACTTTTTAGTACTTAAAAAAGTTTTCTTTTTGATCTGTAGAGCTTATTATTTGACCTAATAAGTATTATTTAACATAATTTTAATGTTAGTAAATAATTAACCTGTTGTTCCAATCGTTTTTGAACCTTATATTGAATATAAACATATTAATAAATATTATATATTAACTTCACTCATTATTTTACATTTCAATTTTCAGATGGTGCTTGGGAGAATGGTCTATCGTATGTTTGTCGCTCATTGCTATTCAAAGCTTTGCACAATTTAATTGAAAGGTAATTTTTTTTTTGTAATTTTACATTAATATGAAAAATAATGAATTTTTTGTTTTCTTTTAAGGTGTCTCTTATCAAAAGATCTCGTAAGGTTAGGCAAATGGTTTGTTCAACCTTGTACAAACGACAAAAGTTACAGTGGCAAAAGGTGGGTAAACTGATGAATTTTCTCTACTCGTGTAATATGTTTTTTAATAAAAAGAAATATTAAAAGTTTTGGTACAATTTTAATAAAATATTTACAAGTAAACAAATCCTATGACGTGTCAATAAAATTTTGGAAGTACAAATAATCATTTTTGAAAGTCATAAATTGATTGATTGTGTTACTTACTTCCTATATAAAATGAAGCAAGATCTCTGCGTTACATCTATGAGATTTATTTTGTGTCGTCGTTTCACTTGCAACAAATTTAAACTAATTTTATGACAAAAAATTTAAATAAATACAACAATTGAGTAATCAATTTTTTTTTTTTGTATTTTTAAGCTTGCAACATTTATCCTTTTCATTTACATTTTTCGTTCATGGAGACACTGTCTGTGCATCAATAGATTTAAGAGAACATCCAGCTGTACGACCTTTAACACCGGAATATTTAGCTGAAGCTGCAGCTTTGTCAGCTGCTGCAAATAGTTCGAATGATTCTCCAGATAATGATGAATTATCCTCGCAAAATAGAACCAGCATTAGTGTAGATTGTCAATCTTTGTCGCCTGGCAGTGGGAGAGAAGCTAATGGCGGCGCTACAACTCCTGGGCCAGGCAGTAACAGCAATAATAATAGTAGTAGCAGTAATAATAATAGTGGCAGCAGTAGCAGTAGCAGTACCAGTAGCAATAATGGCAATAATGCTAACTCTACGGATACTTCGAAATTGAAATCAGTCATATTAGCTCCATATGGAATGGCAGCGACATTAACAGGAAAAAGTTATTGTAAAGCTGACCCTGGAACAGAAAAATTTATGGAAGATTGGCGTTCATTTTACCCACTGTGCAATAAGGACATTTATGATCTTCCCCCGTTCGTTGAAGTGATATCAGGTAAAATTCATCATAATTTTTATGTCAAAATATGTAATAATGGTATTTAATTAAATTCAGGTGGTGTTAAAATGCGTTATCCATCTAAATACGTGTTAGTTACTGATTTGGATGATACTGAAAATAGAAAGTTTTCTTCAAATTCAAATAAAATGGATTTTCTCCAAGATCCGCATTCACAACCATTGCAGTCATCGTATCAATCATTATACATGTCAAATGCTACAACAACCGCCAAAGTCAAACAAGAAGATCATGGAAAAACTAATAAAAATAAAAATATTAATAGCAATAATAATAAAAATAGCCCTAGCAATGTTGCTAATATTAATATCAAAACAAACAAGAATAATAACAGTTATAATAGTACCAATACTGATAATAAAAATACTAATAGTAAAATCAGTGTTGGACAAAATAATAATGGTAAAATAAGTGGTAATAACAGCAGTGATGCCACAAGTATGCAAGGCAATTTCGCTAGTAATAAGCACTCCAGTAATAAAAGTAATTTAAATTGTAACATCAGCGTTGGCAAAAATAAAACTAGCAGCAACAATAATAGTGATAAAAATAAAACTAATAATCATGGTAAAGAAAGAAGTATTGATGGTAATTCTAAAAACAGTGCTATGAGTAGTAGCACCAAAATTGGCAACAACATCCATAGCGATGACGGTAACAATATAAACAACATCATAAATAATATCAACAACATTATTAACAGCACTAACAACAACAATTCTAGTATTAAAGTTAATAAAAATAATAGTAATGAAACTAGTGGCAACAATAGTAGCAAGTCAGATAACAGCAATTATAATTTAAATCAAAATACCAGTAACATTAATAATAAAAAAATCAATGAAAGCGAAAATAAAAATGAAAAAATATCAAACCCAAATGACAATATCAATAACACTAGCGACAGTAAAAGTAATAAAAAAGGGATAAACAACAGTAACAACAATAATAAGAATAAAGCCAGTGAAAGTTATTATGATGACGATAGCCGTAATATAAGTAATATCATCAAAAATAGTATAAACAATATTATCAACAGCACCAGCAATAGCTCTGAAAATACAAGCAAAAACAGCAACTGCGATAACGATACTAATAATAAAAATAATGGTAATAAAAGTAATAATGATAGTAAGTTCAATAACAATAGTAGCGATAATATCAAAAGCAATGATAAACACATCCCCGGTAGTCACAAGGAAGTTGGTGGTCATGAGGCATATGATGCTAACAATCATAAAATTATATCCAACAACATAAATAGCAATAAAAATACCATTTCATCACAAAAAAATAAATCAGATGTAATGAATTCGAATCGAGATAATGAAAATAAAAATAATGATAACAATGAAGACAGTGAAAACATAAATAGCGTAATTAATAGTATAAATATATTAAATAGCCAAATGAATAGAAATAACGTAACGAACAACAACAATAACGACAATAATAGCAAAATTACAAGAAAAGATGCTAGCAACAATGATAACAGTAACAGCAGCAATAAAAATAGCGGTGGCAATGATAATAAAAATGATAAAAATGTCAATAATAATAACAAGAAAAACAGTTCTACTAGCAATATTGAACCTAATATCGATAATAATAACGATAATCATAATGATAAACTTAATGTTAATAACACTAAGAATAATAAGATAATCATAAACAGCACTAATAGTAAAAACGTGGAGGTACTAAACGTTGGAAAGGCAAATAAAAATAAAGAAGATATTGATAGCAAAAATGAAATCATTCCTACTTTAAATACTGCTCCAACCGCGAATCGGACTTTAATTGATTCTAGCAATATTGACAATAGAACCAGCACTCCAGCAAAGGGCATTGAAAGTAGCAACACTGCTTTGAAAACCAATGATGATAAAAATGAAAATCAAACTAATATTAATATTAGTAAAAATAACAATACTTATCTCAATACCTCTTCTAGCGCAAATAACCCTAGTAGGGATACCATTAGTAGTAATAGTAATAGTAGTGAAAATAACAAAGTAAGTTCTGATATTGATAATAGAAATATTGAACAAGAAGATGAAAACATAACTAACGATCGCAATATTATCAACATGAATATGGCTAATAGAAATCCTGGCCTTAATAATAATGATCACAATAATATTAATAATGAAAATAGGAAAAATGACAGAAAAAGTAATAATGAGAACAACATTAGTAACAACAATAATAACAATGGCAATACCAAAAGTATCGGCCAAGATGATGGTGGAAACATCAATCGTATTATGAATAATATTAATAATATTATAAGTGGTGTCGATAATAACAGTAGCGATACTATTGATGGAAATATTTCAGCTGGCACAATTAATAACGACATAAGTAATATTACTAAAAACAATGATGACGGACATAACAACAACGATAACAAAAAGAATAAAGATGACAGCAATGAATGTCATATAAATAAAATATGCAAAGTTAGCAATGAAGCAGCTGCAATATGCGACAAAAAAATAAATAATAATGATTCGCATGATAATAAACGCAATGATAAAACGGACACTATCATTAATAACGTTATTGATAGTGTTACTTGTGGTCCAAGTAAAAGTGCTATTGAAAGTAATAATAATATAAGCAACAGTAAGAATGTACATAGCAATAATAATATTAAAGATAGTACCAATAATAGTAGCAATAGCAGCTCAGATGTCATCGGAAATTTAAATTACATAAAAATCGCACCGAACAACATGGATAGCGGAAACGATAACATCAATATTAAAAGTAATTCGATTAATAACATCAATAATAATAATAACATTAGTAAAAGTAATAATGGTGATGATAGTCAGAGCAAAAGTAATAACAATGCTATTAAAAATTCTCATGGAAGTAATATTGATTTGATTGGTAATATTGCAAGCAACAGTAATAGTGGTGATGCTATTGGCAGTAACAATGGTGATAATGCTAAAAATGATAGGAGCAATCTTGGCATAAATTCTCATGATGATAGCTCTAAGAACAACACCAGCGGTAATGGGAGTGTAGGTATTAATATTATTACAAGCTCTCGTGTTGATGAAAATGATACTCATGATAGCAGTAATAGCAATGATATCAAT